ATCTTCAGTTTCTCGATAGCGAATCGTCCAACCTTACTCATGCGTACAGAGAAGTTCTGCATGTGAAAAGTACAGACATTCTATTACATTTAATTTTAACCTTATTCTTTATCTACTTGCGATATAATGTATTTGATTAGAAAATATAGTCGGTCAAAGTGCCCGATCAAACATAATGAGATTATAACTTTGAATAAATAGTACGAAAGTTTTTTTTAAAATATCAAAATTCTACTGCCTTAGGTTTTAGCAAAACAAAAACAAATCTTTAAATAATGTTAGATATTACGAAGAATTATTTTAAAATATAAATTCTTAAATAGATGAAAATAATAAAGGTTTGACATTATATTATAATTTAATCGTGAAATTTTGTAAAATGTTGTTTATCCTACATTCCTGTAAATAAATAAGTTAATTATAATATCAGAAAAAAATTTATAAAGTGCAGCTTTATTTTCCCACATTATACTCGAACAAATTTCTTTTAAAAAATTATAAAATATATAATTTAACGTCTATTTTATGTTTAATTATACTCAAACTAAGTTCTTACACTTATTTATTAAAATATATGATAAACAACAGATTATTTATTACGAATAATGCATTAGAATGCATTTTAAGAACTTTCACAATATTAATTACAGTATGTGGATAAAAAGATAATATTAGCCATTAATACAATTTAGTAAAAAAAAATTAAATGAAATAATAATAATAATAATAACAACAACAACAACAACAACAACAACAACAACAACAAAATCTATTAGTTTTAAGCCTCGAAACGAATGTTCCTGTATACAAACAAGACAATTTTTTTTTTCTTTAAAATAAAATATATATATAAAAAATTAAAAACTTTTGGACTTTATTTTAAAATTTAATGCAATGTCATTTATTTCAAATAAAACAACACGTTGAAAACTCTATTCTAGTAAAAACTTTAAAATATATTATTGTATGTAATAATATGGGAACAACATAATTTTAAATTAATGCCTAGGTTATTTCCACACTAAGAAACTTTATGATTTATATAAATAATTATACTTTACAACCTAAAATTTATAGCTTAAAATAAAATTTTTATAAACAGAATTTAAAAAACTTTTAACCAGTATTTGCAAGCATATTGTCTATGAGTACATACTTTCGTTTGAATTTTATATTTCTCCATTTGTTTTCGAAATAAATGAATAACTAATATTGACAATTTAGTATATCATAAAGCAAAATATATAAATTATTTTAATAAATTTTTAAATATTTATTTAATACGCAAGCATAATGCGTAGGCTTATTTATTATTTTTCAATAATAATGAAATGTTTCGGATTTCGATGTTTATCAAAATTATAATTAATTTAAATGAACTTAATATTCATTTGCACAAAATTTTTTATGTAAAATTTCAAAATCAAACCTTTCACAGTATTAATTTACAATGTTCCTTTATTTTTTTTTAAAAATGAAATTGTAATTTTACAATAAACGTTTTATGAAATAACAACGTAATTATTTTACATTAAAAAAGTATGGGTGAATATATATGATTTTAATTGCATAAAAATTGAAGAAGAAACACAAGGTATTTATTGTAAAAAAAAAATTGCAAATTTCTAAATTTCTACTAATTTTTTAATAAATGTAACATAATATATTAATTTACTAATAATCATAAAACGAAATATTTTTTAGTTACTTAATTTATTTTAGATTTATATTTTTATATTAATTAAATAATATAAATATTATTTCCTGTCTAAAACATTGTCGATTATAGAAATAACTTTTTTGTTTTTTAATAAATCAATATTATATATGAATTTTTTTATTATATTCAATCAAGTATTGAGTACAAATTATAAAATATGGATAACATTTTTACTCAAGCATCCCGATATATGAGTAAATATATTTAATGACTTACATTCGTATTGCATGAAACAAAAAATAAAAATGGCAGGTACTTCAAAAATTGATATAAGAATTTTAAAATAGAGCTTACTTGCTAGAAATTTTAATCGTAATAAAAATATATTTAAAATCTATAGTCAGGTCTCTTTCATTTTGCCCACAAAGTACCAAATTATTCATGATACATATGTTTTACATTAAACTTTTAAATCCAAATGTTAATCATATATGCAGATTGTTTTTTTTTTTTTTTTTAATAGAAGATCCGATTATGCGCATAGATGCGAATACTTTAAACTTCATATGATCTAATAATAAAGTAATAAATTCGCCCAATTATTCTTTAGTGCCTCCATCGAGTCGCGTAACGATAATAAATTTTGTATAATAAGAAGATGGTCTGATAATAAAAAGATTGTTCTTAGAAATTGGAAAAATCATTTATACAGAATATATGCGTACGTATACTCGTGCATTTGGCTCCACACATCATCCCTTTTATCACAACAAATTTTGTGTTAAATAGGACACTCATACGTATGTCTCATGAATCTCATCATATTATCTCTTGAATACAATTTGAACAAAAGAGAATGAGATTTTTGTTGTTGTAGCAACATTATTCCGAAATATATTCTCATCGTTGTATGGAGTATCTTGTATCACTTTTTTATTTTAAAAATTCCATGTCGAAGTATTCTCGTAGCCTATCGTGGTATCGTAGAGATAAAAAGTAGCTTATTTCGGTAAGAAAAAAAAAATGGACTCTCCGGAATGAAAGAAAAGCTGCTCCCCTCGTATAACGCATATTTCCAGGCTACATTGTCTCCTTAAGCCGTTAGTGTTAACATTGCGTTTCATCAAGCATACTTCTCGGATGACAGATAAATAATATACGTAATAAATTATCAACATTTTTTACATAAATAATAAATAGTGGCAATCTTCGTTGACTCGAAGAAGAATGCCTGTACTTGACAATTTCCCATGTATACGGATATTATTTTCGGCATACAACCTGAATATACGAGAAATAATACAACTGATAGAATATAAAAAACAAAAGAAAACTTATTAAGATTTTTTTGTTGATTCTTAACTAGGAGCAAAGGTTTAAACGAAAAAAAAAAAAAAAAAAAAGAACAAAAACGAAATCGCTACACTAAGAATTACAGATATCGCTAGTCATATATGTTTTTTCCACCTACTTATGTTCCTGTGTTGTACCTTCGAAATGCATTTTTCTAATTTATTTATTGCTTATTTATTCACAATTATGTTTTTTATGAATACTTATCATAGTTTGGCTATCGTATATTTCTTATCCACATTTTGCATTAATTCCGATGATACGCCATTAAAGTTTTTATGGCTTATTAAAAATTTTATAAAACTTATAGTGTTGACCATAATTAATACAGAGCATAAGCAATGATTACTAACGATATATCAATTTATCGTGAATAACAACTTTGGAGGAAAAAAAAACCAACAAAAGCAATAAAAAAAATCAAATAAAATAAGAAAAAACTTCGTTCGTAAAGCAGGTGTAAAAGTCTTTATGTTATTTCAATCATTCATCTTATCTTCTCAGTTTTCCAGCTTACCCTACAGTATATACATAGATGGCCTAGATTAAGAACGAAGTCATGCTCTCATCGCTCGATCGTCTTCATTTTCCACTAGAGTAGCTTTCGTATGAAAAATGATGAGAGTGATTACATCGTTTTTTCTCTTCCTCTTCTTCTTCTTCTCCTACTTCATCTTCTTCCACTTCTTTTATCTTCTTTTTCATCGCCATTTCCCCCTCCGCCTCCTTCTTAGCAATTTATTCGATTTTTCAAAGACCGTGGAGGAACTAAGAGGCTGCGAATATCGCGAAATAGCGTAAAAGGAAAGAGAAAACGAATGTCTGGTTGATTATCCGATTATCCAGTTCTACGGAACATTTACGATTTGCGTCCAACTCGAAATTTATCACAGTATTTCGCACTTTTTCGCTCTTCACTCTGTATTTATCTATAATGCATAATCGATTTGCTCAGACACTTGGGTAATCGCGCGATTATCGGCAATCTAATTACGTAAACAATTTTATTTTGTAGCTTTAGGATTGATACAAATACAGACTCAATCGCATGTATCCTTATCGATTAAGCAATGCCATAAAATAGAAAACATATATTCTATCGACTTGCAAAAACAATGTCTGCACTAATTCAATAGTAGGTGTAATCGCTTCCAATGCTAATCTATTAAAATTCATCCAATTGTTAAAGAAATATACTTTCAGAGACAATGTATTGGCAAATTCGGGTCTCTTTTATTAATTCGTACTTTATTTCCACTATGGAGCTTAAAATAAAACGTAAGTCGAATTAAGGATTACTCACAATTCGAAATGATGCAAAAATATTATCGTAAGAATATTTATTTACAATTTAAGTATAAATATTATGTATCTTAAAATACTTATTAAATAAAGCTATAATGTATCGTAAGAGTTCAAATTTTATAAATAATCTTGAAAAAAGGTTAATTTCGTTATTGTAATGCACTGGTGAGTCTCGTTGCAAATGTTTTCATACAACAACAACAACAACAACAACAACAATAATAATAATAATAATAATAATAATAATAATAATAATAATAATAATAATAATAATAATAATAATAATAATAATGGTAATAGCAGTAGTAGCAGTAGTAGTAGTAGCAGTAGTAGTAGTAGCAGTAGTAGTAGTAGTAGTAGTAGTAGTTAGTAGTAGTAGTTAGTAGTAGCAGTAGTAGTAGCAGTAGTAGTAGCAGTAGTAGTAGCAATAGTAGTAGTAGTCGTTGTAGTAGTAGTATTAGTAGCAGTAGTAGTAGCAGTAGTATTAGTAGTAGTAGTAGTAGCAGTAGCAGTATTAGTATGGATGATCGTGTAAAAATGACAGTTCATTGGTATTGGCGCGAATCATTGTGTACAATGTGAAGTCGAGCCAGGTGCTTTCGTGGCAACCGACAAAGAATGAAGTGCAAAGGTACCAAGAAAGTCACCTAGGGGTATATATATATATATATATATATATATATATTCATTCGGGGGCGTTAAAATCGCGTGGAACGCCGATGGTCAACGACACTGCATGTCCTCGTACATCCGATGCCCAGCATTAATCATCGGCCATTGCGACGCTGATTTATCTTCAACCAGAGTCCACCCGACGCTCTGACAGTCAGGCGAAATTTTGGTCGCACTTCCGTCTTGCCTTCGACGCTGCCCAAACGACACCTGCGCAGTATAGCGCTTATCATGGCTTTCATTTCCAGTATGGCGAACTTGTTGCCTGCCATTAAAAAAAAAAGAGCCAATTAACCTCGATGCGACATACGAGTGCCGGCCAAATATAATTTACCGATGCAATTGCGCGGCCCGGCGCTGAACGGTAAGTAAGCGTAAGGATGTCGCTTCGCCGAGTTCTCGGGACTGAAGCGCTCAGGGCGGAAGCTGTGCGGATCCGGGAAATGGTGCGGCAGCCGGTGTGTGCTGTAGGGTAGAATAATTACCCCACAGCCGGCCGGTATCACGTGCTTCCCTGTCAATGGGTATATTAACGAGCTTTTCTTTCTCTGTCTTTTTTTTCTTTCCTTTTTTTTTTACCACGTAGTTTATGTTGCTAATAGAACTCGCGTCGAGCTTCTTTTGCACTAACAAACAATACTCCAGAATAACGTCGAAGCTCTCTGTAAGTCTCGAGGAGAAGCATTTGTAATAGTACGATATATATATATATATATATATATATATATATATATATATATATATATAATACGACCCCGGTGTTCGAGAATTAAAAACCGTATTGCGCAAACTATGAATATTTAAAATGGATTTATTGCAGACTGACCGATTTTACAGCGATAAATCATATCACCATCTCAGTAAGACCTTCTTTCGCCAACTTTCAAACCTCCGCACATCTTGCGAAGTTTGTTCTTTTTCTTTAACTTTGCTCACTTTTCAGCCACCTTTTTTTCTTTATCCGTCTCAAATATTCAAATGCCGATGATATCCAATATGCCCGAAATAATGTTCCTTCTAGGAAGCGCATGAAATAAAATTCTTATTGATTATTGATTAAGGATGAATGATTCAAAGGTTTCAGCGTCACGCGCAGCACCGTTCGAATTTCACGAAATCCCGTCCCAGTGAACGCGTTTCGTTAAATAAGCAAAACTGCAATTGAAAATGTGAAATTTCGGGTTTGTTAGCAGAGCGCATCCGGAGCCCGTGATTTCTCCTTCCCCGGCACGATAACCCACCGACGGGCGAAAGCATCGTATGGAATACAGTATAAGCCCGTAAATATCACATGGCGCCCGTTGCCAAACGACAAAGCTCGCTCGTAGTATTTGCTCACCGACTTTGACGTCCTCTCCAAGCGTCCTGGCAAAGAGCGGCACACTCGGATAAAGTCTAAGAGCCTCCTTTATGCACGATTCGAGGCATCTCATCGCTCTCAAGTCTTGCATAGTTGGCGACCTACTGTCGTCGCCCTTAAAAATCCTGTTGAGCTCCTCGACGCACTTGTCCTGCCACTCGGGGTGATTCGCCAGGAGGAAGAGCG